GTTATTATAAATGAGCTTCCAAAAGAACATAGATATAAAAAGAAGTATGTTTTACCTGCCTATATTTACTGTGACAAACATGATCCAAATATGTCGACATTTCTAAACCCACTTATCGAAAAGCTGAATGTTCTAAACGCTGGTGGAATAAACGTGCCAGATAGYGCAGATGGAAATATCAACGTACGAGGCATGTTGTTTGTAACAACGGCTGATTTACCTGCTAGAGCAGATTTAATGAACATGAAGCAATACAATGGCAAATGTGGTTGTCACCTTTGCAAGTCAGAAGGACAAGGTTATGGGCCAAACAATATTCACCGATACTGGCCTTATCAAGCKAACATTGAAAAAAGGATCCATGAAGATCAACAGAAATATGCCGCTGAAGCTACAATTAAACAGCCAGTGATGGGAGTCAAAGGTCATTGTATTTTTTCTAAGCTATCGTACAGTTTTGATTTAGTAAGATCATTTGCAATTGACTGGATGCATTGCGTTTGTCTGGGTGTTGTGAAGTATATAATGCAGCTTCAAATGTCAATAGTCAATAAAGGAAAACTTTTCTATATTGGCGGAAATAAAACATCGATTTCAAATAAAATCTTGGCAATAAAACCGCCTGACATTGTTGGAYGAATGCCCAGAACATTGGAAGACCTCAAGCACTGGAAAGCTACAGAACTCTTAAAAGAACTGGTTGCTTCACTATTCTATAACAGTTTTGTACAAAGAACTCGATGCTTTGTACGTTTTTCACTGGTCTCTTCTAGTTGGTGCAATAGGAATCTTATGTTCTGATTCAATAACGAGTGACGATTTAAAAGCTGCAGATAGCATACTACAGGATTTTGTTCTTTTAATGGGAGTTTTATACGAACCCACTAAATGCACAATGAATATCCATCTGTTGCAGCATTTAACTTACTATGTGTCACGCAGGGGACCTTTATGGGCGTACAATTGTTTTGCCTTTGAAATGTTAATGCATATTTAAAACCTCTAGTGCATGGGACACATCACGCTATGGAACAGATAGGATGTGCGATTGCACTTTGCTATGGGCTTCCTAATTTTACAAAAAARATGTTGCAGAAACCTGATATTTTGAAAGAAAACAAACATTTGTTGAGACATCTGAACGGAATTCCTCAAAGCTACAATAAAAATTCTTCCAAGRTAGACGGGGGCTATTTGTGTGGAAAAGAAAAACCAACAAGCATTGATGGCAACATGAAGACTCTTGTAATGCTATTTGTAGCTAAAAACAAATGGCCTTCAAATTATGAACTTGAAGCTTATCGCAGATTTGACAGTGACGAAGGGCAGAAATTTTATTCACTTGCGGTTAAAACTCGCAAGACTGATTCAACTGTCATTGAATATACAGATGACAAGAGTAACATTTGTTATGGACGAGTGAAAATCTTTCTTAAGATTTTCAATCACGGTATTTGTATCTGTAATGCACTTAATGAAAACATTGACGYGGAGTCGACACTCTTTGACGAGCGTGAGTGTCTTGAGAGTCTACAAATGTTGAATGTCAATGAACAAGACAAAATTAGTATTGGTCGTATTTTAGGGAAATATAACAATACGAAACTTGTTAAGCATCAAATCAACATAAAAAAGGGTTTAGGAAAGCTACTTGTAATATCTGTTGAACAGATCAGACGCAAATGCGTCTTCATCGATGTTTTACCAGATATGTGGGTGATCTCACGTTTCCCAAATGTAATTGAGCATAACTGAAAACTACGCTTATTCAAATCATATTGCAGATATTGCTATAACTAGTTGCCTGAAATATACGCTTTAATTTAACAGGTTGCTTTTAAAACGTAATAATCAGTAGAGTTATATATYTAATATACATAATTATATCATTC